TGTGTCACAAGAACTGATGTCAGGATTTACGAAGACTTTCTTGACGAAACGGGCATGCCCTCAGTGTGTAAACTCGCTCACCTCAGCGCAGCGGCAAATGTTGTCGCGGAAGTCCTCCGCGAGGAATACGTCGGGCCGAACATCCTGCAGTTGGTCTGTCCGCTCGGAAGCCCATGATCGAAGTGGTGGCAAAGTGCACGGCCGCGTCGGTGTATCGGCAAGGGTCGAAGCGTCCTTCGCGTGCACTTTATCGGCTTCCGCGATGGCGTCCTCCACCTTTGGGCGCTTGTTGCTGGCATTGTCGGGGCGAGTATCGCTAGATGCGCCTTGTTCGGACGAGTGTGCAGGACTGGACCTCTTGCGGGAGCTGTTTGTCGTAGTTGAGCCAGATTTCTCGTCGCTCTCTTCGGACACTTGGGTGCTCAAATTCATGTCTGCTGTCTGCTCCGTGTCGGTCACCGCATTTGCAGCTGCATCCTCAGCGCCGGACGCAGCTTCTTCAAAAGCGACAAGCGTCTCCACAGCTTCTTCGTTGAGCTCAAGACCCCACACCGCACAGCCTCGTCTTGTACCTTCGAGATGATCGAGATGGGGGATATTTCTCGGCAGCATCTGCAGCATATCCAATTCCTTTGATTGACCGGTACTCTTAGGTCGCAGCGGAATGACAGCCCCCCAACCCTTGGTTCCTACGTAGTGGCGCAGCACCTCGTTGCCTTTCGCCCTGACGCATGCTGAACAGATCATCAAGTCGAAAGAATCGTGTGCTATGAGTGGCCAAGTGTCCACATTCTCGCCCGAGGCTTGATCTACGGTCTGCGCCGCTTCCGTCACTTTTGCAGTGAGCTCTGCGCCAGCTACCGGAGTTGGATGAGCCTGCGTCTCTATTGCTCTGCTCATTGAGCCGCTGTCCTGTGGTCGAAGCGCTGCCTCTGCTGCTGCGGACGATCCTGGCGGTTTGTAGTTGCCCAAGAGACTGGTGCAGGACTCGTGGAACCAGTCCTCGCACACGAGGCACTGGAACATGGTCTAGAAGGACAAGAGTGGAGCGTTCATCTGGTGAGCAGATAGCAGTGTGGTAGCAGTGACCTTTGGCAATGTCCCTTCTTGATCCAGCCGAGATTCACTGCACGATGCACCTGCCCCCGCATGCACATCCGAGATCACCACTTTGCCAGCTCACCTCATCCTCTTCCAGCGGATCGTACCTTTCTCCCCTCTGACATCTACAAAACTTGCCCTCAAAGTTCCGACCATATTGATTCTCCTCGTTCTCTATCCTCACCGCCATATGAGCTGGTCGGAGATTGCACGCTTTCGGCATCACGGTGGTACCCTCCGTGTGCGCATGGGCCTGAGAGTGCTTGGACTTGGATTGATCGAGAGACAGCGTACCGCAGTCGCACCTAAAGTTGCGCTTCGCAAACAGTTCTACCAGGTCATGATCTGCTCAAATACGTGATAGGCATGCATTCATCCATCGTCAGCATCAGCTTGGTAATACCCCCTTCATAGACCCACGTCCGACTCACCGCTATGACACCCCACTCCGCAGCCGGCGCACACTCCGCCGCCGCCACAGGTTTTGCAGGCCCAGACAGGTTGTCGGATGTATCCCTTTTCATAGGTGCATCCTCCCAATCTGAATGAGAAAGGAACAGCTTCCCGGGCCTGCCTTTCCAGCTCTGCTTCGTGAGCTAGTAGATCGGAAGCTGTCAGACCTCGAGGAGCAATGGGTGATGCTGGCTCTGATACAGACGAGGATGTAGACGGCTCTGTGGAGGTTTCTGCAACTGCAGAAGGGCCTGTTATGTGGTCGGTTCCCATGATGGCATCGGAGCGGCCGAGGTTGCGGCTCCAGTCTCAACGAGCGTCTGAGTTTGGTGGAGAGCTCGCTGACAGATGCGTGCGGTGGACGCGCGCAGCAGGAAAGTTGGACTGTACCACTGGTTGGCTGTTAGCTCGAGCTCTGCTAATGCAGCTCGGAGTTGGCAGAAGAGGTTGCAGTGGAAGCAGGGGCGGTGATAGACATGACGACGCTGCGAACTGTTGCAACGACCATCCACATGACTCGCTGCGCACGCCCCAGCCGCGTCGCACGGGTTGCAGAGCAATTAACACGCGGCGCGTGTCGCGTGCCGCGCACGTCGAAGCAGCAGCGCGCGCGTGGAATGCGGTACAAATGCTGCATTCACGTGAATTCAATTCGTGATGTAAGGATTTTGTGATCACGGTAATCGTGACTATGTAATCACAATTGTGATTGCTACACATGCTGCAGCATGCCCATGCCGTGCTGCAAGCCATGCGGCACGCCCCAGCAACATCACTCACGCCGGATCCCCGCCGCGAACATGCCCCTCATTCCCGCTCGATATCCTCGAACGAGCCGATGTAGTCGAGCAAGCCGGCACTGCCGACAACGCTGAGCTGACCATAAAAGCACACTGCTGAGAGGCCTTGAGTCTGAAGTGCGTGCATTGCGTGCTTACGCTACGAGGTTAAGACTGCTGCACATCTTACCCATTCAATAATCACAATGCCGTCCAGCAGAACCAAAGGCTGTGCCAACGCTGGCGTTTGGCGCCTCGCAAACTGCCCCGGAAAAGGCTCCCTTGCCGCGGTCGTGTCGCAAAAAGCCTTTCCGGTCAGGGCATGAAACGCAACAGTCTGATCGATGAGTGGAAGAGGGAAGAACGTAGCGATGAGATACAAGAAGTCTAGCCTTGAGCAAGGAATGACGCAAGAAACGAAAGTGCAACGGAACTTGAGGACTTCCAACTTCTCGCTTCGCCAAGTTCACAGAGCAGGGCTTGCGCGCGCGCCTTAAAGCTGCATCACCTCGATCGAGAGCCATCGCCCCTGCAGGTGCGTGTCAAGTCGTTGTCCTACTGTACCACCGCGTGATGCGGATTCCGCCCCAGCTTTTCGACCGTCTTTGAGATTCCGAGACACTTCGGGCTCATCCTACAGCTATGAAGATGACGTCGATCTAGCATGATCATTTAATTTCGAGTACGAAGCACATGTGGAGAACGTGGCAAAGAGGCTGCACGTGACATTTTGAGAGGCACGGGAAAACCAAGAATGAGGGGTTGGGATGCCGGGCGAAGCGGTCCAAAGTGACGGGAGCGAGGCCAAAGGCAAGAAAGATTCGCGTACACGCGCGCGTCCATGCAAGCTGAGACTTGTTAAATAGATTTGATTGTCGCGGCGATCTCAAATTGATTTGATTGTCGCGGCAATCTCAAATCGGGAATTCAAAGTTCACGCGGGAATTGGTGTGGACGTCTGCACGCCTTCCTGTCGATGGATAGGGTCTCCCTCTGACATCACGTCCTGCTGTGTGGATCATGACTCTATAGTGGTATGTCAAAATATTGTACATACCGCAACAGTGACAAGCGCAGCACCCAAAAGGCTTGGAGCGGACTGAAGGTCAAGCAAATCCGTCGTAGCCATCTCATCTTCGCGCTTTGAACGAACACACTGCACGATCCCTGAATTTCAACCCAAGCCAACAAGTTCCAAAATATCACGCAACCCCACAAGCTTTCAGTACTTTAGAATTTTGTGATCGCTACAGATACTACTAGGTCTGCGGTAGCCGAGAACCATAACCACGCACCAGAGCCAGACCATTCAGCGAGAGTCTGGGTGAAGCAGGAGTCACGTGGACGAGGTAGAGCAGGGCCCGATCGCGTGCACGTATATACGCCGCTTACGTGGCCGTGGGGGTCCGTCGCGCTGTGCAATTAACACGCGCGTGTACTGCACGCGCATCACTCGCCGTGCCGCCGTGCCCGAGCGCGTCTAGCTGTGCACCAAATAGCAAGCCGATGATCATCAGCATCAGCAACACACTTGACTTGGACCAAACTCATGAAGGGACACTGTGACTCGTGAGGTGCGGTCGTGCGAATCCAAGATGAGGGTCGAGGCAGATGAGCACCTGATGATCAGCAGAACGAATCGTTAATGTGAATCTTGCTTGGGTCTGTTGTGGCTTTCAGCGGCGAAATGGCGGTGCAGGCCAATGCTTGCGACCATCACTCGAACTCATCAGACTTGTGACTCGCACTGATCTTCCCACTCAACACTCGTGACTCGCACTCACCTTCGCACTCACACTCTCACGCCGATGGTGCCATAGTCGTCACTACCCGGCGCCCACGCTTACATGCAATCTCCAAAGATCCTAACAGTTGTGTGCTGCTCAAAACTGGCAGTGTATAGATACCACAATCGAGAGGTAATGTGGCTGAAGGCAGATGTCGTCGAGGGTTAGCACGATCGGGCAACTTCTACCTGAGTAGTGTCTTGATATCGAACGTCCGCATGACTTGAGCGGCGGTGGCGTGCACGCAGACGCGCCGTGTTCGTGACCTCCACACCAACACCATGCAGTCAATTAACACGACGCGCTAGCCGTTCGCGCGTCATGCATGAGGTGCCGCCTCTGCCTCGACCATAATTTTGAATCACGAATGATGGACTGATAGGGTGGCTGCTGCATGCATATACCGCGCGAGAAGGTATGCTGAGGATCGGTCCAGTCAGCAGCGTCATCAAGCCCTTGACATTCGTGAATTGGCTGGTGGTTGTAGTCAGCTACTGGTCACGCCGACTATCGATCTGTAGCCTATCTGGGTGAGTGGCCTCACCACGTGGCGTGCTTCACTACGCCTCTATACTCACGACTCAGGCTGCATACATGCCATGCATCGCACATCTGCTGAATGGCAGCTTGACTCCCTCACACTCATGACTGGACTACTGTTGCGCCACGCTGGCTGCTCTCTTGCTCATCTTCGCTCACTGTGATTGTATCACCCAACACTTCAGATCCTTCGGGCCTCGTTCGACATCTTCAGAGCAAGACTACCCGCTGAAGCAGGCCGGGCTTCTGTTTCCGCCTTGTCCAGCTCCCGTACTCCTGATTCAAAGCTTCGACACAACTCATCACGATTCGGCAGCCACCAAACGTTGCCTCTGACCAAATGCGACCCTTCAAGGCCATCGCTGCCGCGGCAGACGTATGGTTCCGGACTCCTCTAAACTTCTTTCGCCAGGCTGAGGCTGCCTCAGGAACTTGGGAGCGCTTGGACAAGGCTGCCGAGCAGCAAGCCATATATGACGCCTATTTGGACGAGGACGAGAGTACGCCATCCGACGCTGAGAAAGAATTCGCGCTGGCAGTGATGGAGGCGACCTTCGCGATTGCCGAGGACGCGGCAACGCGAACCGCCGTTTTCGGCCCTCTCATGGGATATGAACCAGAAATGGCTAGCAAAGTGTCCCGTCTCAAAACTGCAAAAAACACCGGACCCGCACAGTGCGCCCTGTTAATGGACGTCGCCCGAAGCAAGGTCTCTGTCGCTTCACGCAGCTGCGCATCCGAAAGCAGAATCGCCTATGATCGTCTGATCCAAATCCAGCACCTACGATTACAGCTTTTGGTAGCCAAGAACGAGTTACGCAAGGCGAACAGAAAACTCGAAACCCAAAAGCCTAAGACGTGGTTGGAGAACCTTGTGCCCCGATGGGAGCCCTGGAGCTACAAGTGGACCAGAAACACCGATCTTGAGAAACGGGAGTGCGACCACCCTCGTCTCCAGCAGGCGGCCTTGCACGGGCCTGTCACTAGGCTCAACCCCTATTTGTGGCATCTCGTCCGGCGCGCGTCTACGCCAGCGGTCAGCAGGAGCTTGAGTCAAAGTCTAGGTGGATCGGGCGGCTCTCAGTCCTCTACCGGCAGCGCCATACTCGTCGGTCCCTCCCCCCTTTTTTCGCAGTTGAGCGAGTCGGGCAGCGTTCTCGCACCGACTGGCGTGAAGCGCAAAGCGTCGAATGATCCTGATGCTCATCAAGTTGCCGGTCCTTCAGGGAACAGTGCGCCTAACAAGCACACTCGAACCTCGCGAAGTACAGGTCTTCCTGAGTCTTCGACGACTTACATGCTCTCTCTGCGCCCGGGACTCGCTCCGCCTTCTTCGGATCACGGCACGAACGCACCGCAGACCAAGGTCAATGCTTCCGCCGCGTCCTCCACGCCAGCTCCTGTCGTCACTTCCACCTCTTCTGCTCCCGTCTTTAGTCCGAGGGAGATCATCGCTACCACCGTTCTTGCTCCTGTCGTCAGTTCGAACGACGACGTTGCTTTCACCGATCCTGGTCCTGTTGTCAGTCCGGGCGACAACGTACCTTGAACCGCTTCTGCTCCCATCGCCAGTCCGAGCACTGGTCTTGCAACAGTATCGCTGCCGGCCCACGAAGGACACGACTCTCGAAAGTAATCGGCCTATCAGAAGCTCATGAACGGATTCGAAGCTTCGCTCCAAGTAGCATAAGTCCAAGGAGCAGAATCAGAAGACCTTTCACGAGCACTCACAACAGCGACCCCAGGGTCGAAGTTCAGACAGGTCCTGCATTGAGCAGTATAGTCGCTATTGTACTCGAATGACATATGTTTAGCGAAGCTCGGGGTTGAGGACTTCGACCGCCTTCCGATACGTAATTCTTGTGTGTGTTGACGCTTGTTCTGAGATAGGGTAGCAACGGCGAATGAGTCTTGATAATCTCTCTCTTGAGGAGATTGAATAGCGCGTCGTGGAGAGGTGAAGCAGAGAACTGTACTCGGGTCATGCGGCGCTTTGAAGTGATGACGTGGCATGGCGTTTTGCAGTCCGCCTTTTCTGCGCCTCCTCGATCCGAACGGATGAGCCGGCACCACTATGAAAGATCTGAGAGGAGATGAACACAGGCATCTGCTCAGAATCTTGAATGAGGGTTGCTAGTGAATGGTGGTCGTCAGACGAGTAGGAAGAGGCAGCACTTGCTTGCTACTCACATCAAGCTTGGGAAGCAACCGTGCAAAATGAGTGACAAGCTTCCCCTCTCCTGAACTCGACGTTGTCGCTGCTACTGGGAAGCGTCGATATGCAGTGCAACATAACATCTTGCTCACCAGAAGAGCCTCTCCGCTTGACAGCGGGGCTCTGACGAGGGGAAAAAAAAATGCGGGAGTGAATGGCAAAACCAATATTGGATCCTCGGCTTCCTGTCCTCGCGCCAACGATGAACCTTGCTCAAACCCGAAGGGACCAAGACACCAATAGACGCTCGAGATCGGCTTTGGATCCTCATAGTTCGCAGCTGCTTCTCGCCGGACTCGAACCGACAACCTGTAACCACTTAAGGGAGAAGCGACTGCCACTAGCGCACATGCGCTAACAACTAGACCATAGGAGTTATGATGCAAAGAGGGCATACATGGGTATATATGCACCTATTTTCTGGCGAATTTAGCCTCCTCATGAGCGTGTTGGATGCAAGGAGATGTTGGAGGCATTGCAGGCGGAATTCCCACTTGGATGCGCATCTAGAGATGCATCCAGCTCCGACCATCATTGCAGGTGCTCGGAGTCGTGTACATCTCCGAGACGCGTAAAGTGTAGCTCGTTTGCTGCTTCGCTGTCTCCCCGGCTGAATTGGCTCGATGATGCCGGCATTGCACTTGTGTCGAGTTGTTTAATGAACGGATGAAGTGACCTCGGGGCCTTGACATCGGGGGGATGATGGTCAGTGATCTATTCATATTCGCATGGACGGTTCATTGATGACGAGGAGGACCGCCGATGGTCAGACGTAGCCGAGACACAAGGTGTCCATAAT